TCTGCCTCCCGAGTGCTGGGACTAAAGGCGTGCGCCACCACCACCTGGCGAGACATGATTTCTTATTCATGATTGCCTGCCTGGCCCAGGAGCTAACGGGCCTTCTCCTCTCCGCTCCCATCTCAGTGTGAGTGTGAGTGTGAGTAGGCCAGCATTGCAGCCGTGCACCGCTGCACCTGGCTTATGTCAGATTCTGAGGATCTGAATTGTGGTCCTTTATCCCCTGAGATATCTCCTCAGCTTTGAGGGTTTCGTTTTGTTTTGACAGGCTCTCACTGTATAGCTGAGACCCGTCTGGAGTTGGGCATGGTGGGATGGGCATGACTGTCAGGACCCAGTGTGTGCACAAGGAGACAGCGTTCAGTGGGAAATGAGAGTTTAGTGGCTGGGCCTAGGGAAGGACAGGAATCCGCCGGTAGGTAGAGAGAAACGGCGTGAACAGGCGTTTCCTGGGGTATAAAAGTGGCCAGCCTCTAGGAAGGTGAGGTGGGTGGTGAGATTGTCTGGGTTTGTCTCGTATGTCTTCAAGGTAGACTAGGAGATGAGAAGGAGCCAGAGCAGGTCCTTGAATGTTACATTGGCAGTTTGGGGGTGCCAGAGAGCTACCGAATGAATGGTTTAGAGAGGTCATTTTTGTCAGCCAGAATCTGGGTGGAGGGTGACAGACTGGAGGCTTGGTATGAGGAAACAATGAGTTCTCAAGTGGGGCAGAGGTGGGGGTTGAGGTGTGAACCCTGCTGGGACATGTTAGTGGGTCGTCTGCCCCCCACCCCAAATGGGAGCCAACTGGCTGAATGTGGGGTGTGGAGGCATCTGTCACCTCTGAGAACCAGCATCTTACTTAGGGAAGAATGTTGGCACAAGCTTGTAATCTAAGTGCTTGAGAGGCTGAGGCCGGGAGATCCCTTTTTATTGGCTAGTCTGGCCTATATAGTAGAACCTGTTTCAAAATGACCCAGAAGTCTAAGTGGATCGGTTGCTTATAGTTTGTAGCTTAGGCTGACCGTGAACTCAAAATTCTCCTACCTCAGCCCCCCTAGTGCTGGGATTGTAGGAGTGTTTGCCGTCCCTGGCATACTCACTTTTTAGACCATGATTGTATTTTGTCTGGCCCTAGACTTCCCAGCATCCTCTGGGGTAAGAGCATCCGGCTTACTCCAGGGGCAGGGCAGGAGGCAGGACTTGGGGTCAGATTTCTTTCTGGTGTTGATCAAAACCGGAGACCCCGAGCTTTGGGAGGGGGGCAGATGGTGAGCCAGCCTCCAATCGGCTCTTGCTTTGTGTCCCACATGGAACAAAGTTTGGTGAAGGCTTCTAGGAGATCTGGATTCTTGGTTCTGCTGAATGGTTCTTGGGCAATCTCCAAACCATGGTGGGGAGCTGATCTGTATGTTATATCCCCAGGCTCTGGTCAGGAATCTGTATGTGGTGTCAAAGCCAGAGACTGTCTTCTTTTGTTTTGGTCTTTTTTGGTTTTTTTTTGAGACAGGGTTTTTCTGTGTAGCTTTGGAGCCTATCCTGGCACTGGCTATGGAGACCAGGTTGGCCTCAAACTCACAGAGGTCCACCTGCCTCTGCCTCCCGAGTGCTGGGATCAAAGCCGTGTGCTGCCACTGCTCACTGCTCAGCTCGGTCGTTTGTGTTTTGAGATAGGGTCTCACGTGTCTCAGGCTTGTCTGGAGCATGCCAGCGATGACACTAGTTCTGTTCCCCAAATGTTGGGATTATAGGGGTGCTTTACTACACCTGGCTTTGTGGGGGTGTTTGTTGTTGTTTTTAAATTTATTTTAGATTTATTTTGAGTGTTTCACCTGCATGCGTGAATGGAAGCATAATGTGTGTGCCTGGTGCCCAGGGTCGGAAGACGGTGTCAGCTCTCTGAAGCTGATGTTGTGAGCCCCTGTATGGGTGCTGGCAACTGAACTTGTTGCTCTGCCAAAGCACCATGTTTTCTAAGCTGCTGAGCCGTCTCTCTAGGCTGGACTTTTGCTTCTTTTAATTTCTTTTATTTTTTGAGATGACAATTACATTTCCTGCTCCCTTTCCTCCCTCCAAACTCCCTTATACGCCTCCTTGCTCTTTTTCAAATTCATGGCCCCTCTAAAAATTATTGCTATATACATATATGTACACAAATGTATATTGCTCAATACATAAATGCAGCCTGCTTAGTCTGCATGATTTGTGGTTTTGTTTGTGCTTCTGAGGCAAGCTCTTGCTGTGTTGCCCAGGATGGCCTTGAACACAGTCCTGCCACTCCTGCCTAGCCACTGATGTAATTATACATGTCACCATGCATTTTGGTGTCTCTTCATCCTCTCATTCTGCAACTCAGGGCCAGGCCTGTGCCAAGGCAGTCTTTGGGACGAGATCAGGCCCAGACTCAGGCCCTGTTCTGTAGTTCCCCTAGCCTGCGGGGGAGTTAGCCCTACACACAGATAGTCCCGGAGCACAGAAGATTGACAGTTATCCTAGGGTGTGAGAATCCCAAAGAGAGGCTCCCAACCCAGCCCTGAACCATCAGGACAGGCTTCCTGGAGGTGGCCTCCAAACATTAAAGTAGCTTGTGCAGAGGCCCGGCTTCCCGTGGAGCCAGGATTCCAGGTGTGATTCACTACCCCTGACTGCTCTAGTGGCAGCTTGAGAGATGAGGTCAAGTTCCAAGCACCAGGTCAGGGGGCTGAGGTTTCTCCTGGCTCAGCAGCTGTGAAAGTCTTTTGAGCAGAGCAGGCTGGGGTCAGGTGTCAAGTGGAAAAGAACTGTTAAAGACTATGTTAGGGGAAGACCTCAGGCCACATGTGGAAGGAGGCTGAGTCAGTGGTTCTGTGAGAGGACAATGACAGGGACAGTGGCTGGGCAAGGCTCATGACTGAGCATCCTGGTTCTGGGCTGGCAAATTATAGTCATCTTGTTGAAAATTAACACCAGCCTTGGTGGGTGTGGAAAATTATTCCCATTTCCTAGACAAGGAAGAGGCTAAGGCTCAAAGACCCATAAAGCGGAAGCAGGCTAGGTAGTTATGAGAGAGAGGGCCAGAGAGAAGCAAGCACCCTCACGCCCCCCCCCCCCAAGGTGTCTGTGCTGTTTTTCAGATGGTCTAGCTAGGCAGCTCTGCAGGCCTGGAACCAATGACCCTCTTACTCCAGAATGCTGGGATAGAGCCAGAGATGACCTTAAACTTGAGGTCCTGCTGAGTGCTGGGACTACAGTGTGGGCAGCTAAGCCAGGTTCATTCGGTTCGGATCCCTGTGCTTCCCGGCTTCTTGGCCTTTACAGTCTCCTGCTCCAGAACCTCCTTGAGTGTGACAGGCACACTCATTTTACAACGGAACCACACCCCCAGCCCCTCCCTGGTAACTGTTAGGAAAGCTCTACAGCAGAACTGCACCCTCGGCTCACCTGTGGTCATTTGTACTTCCACTTTTGTCAGATTCCCAAAGAGGTCCCTTTCAGAATTGCCCTTTGATGTTGGCTGTCAGCTGGACCGCACAGTGGCTTTCCCTGGTTGCTTTGGCTTTTCATGAATCACAGCTGTGCTCTGAGAGGGAGCTGGCTGTCAAGGATGCCCAGGTGAATTGTGGATGGCTTCTTAGTGCAGGAGCCCTAGATAGTCACTACTGCTTTTTATTGTCCAGGCAAGTCACTGAGGCCTTTCCCAGGCACAAGGGGCAGGGAATTTGGTGCTCACTTAAACACACACACACACACACACACACACACACACACACACACGTGTGTGTATGTGTGTATATATACATCTATATAATACACATGATTTAACAAAACCTGTACAAGTTCAAGCCAGCATTCATCTTTAAGTTCAGGAAGCACGGGGGGGGGGTGTGGATGGATGGAGGGGTGTAGGGGTGGTGGTGGTACACATCTGTAATCCCAGCACCCTGGAGACTCGGGCAGGAATTTGAAGCCAGTCTAGGATACAGGAAACGATGTCTCTAGGAGAAAAGGAGTTTGCAGTTTTAGTACAGGAGACAGACCCTGAGGCCTCAGACATAATGGACAGTGCTCTACTACTGAGCTACATCCCCAACTCTGACCTAAAGATCTTGCCAGACTTGGTGGCGCACACCTTTAATCCCAGTACTCAGGAGGCAGAGGCAGGTGGATCTCTGTGAGTTTGAGGTCAGCCTGGTCTACAGAGTGAGTGCCAGGACAACCAGGGCTACACAGAAACCCTGTCTCAAAAACACCCAATATATCTCTCTCTCTCTGTCTCTGTCTCTGTCTCTGTCTCTCTCTCACTATCTATCTCTATCTCTCTATCTCTCTCCCTATCTCTCTATCTCTCTATCTCTCTATCTCTCTTTCTATCTCGGCTGCACCACAGTATTATTAGATCAGTATATTACAGGTGAGCCAACAGCCCTCGAGGGCAGGTGGTTTGACCAAGGGCACACAGCTAGTGCGGCAGAACCCAGTTTTGATGACTGGTAGCCTAGTTTTCTTGTAGCACCAAAGTAAGCAGAGACAGAGTTTGTGCGGATGGGATGGGGACCAGGGTGCTCTGAGGTGAGTTCTTTGTTCCGGGGGAGGAGACAGGGATCTCCTGACATGGCCTGCACTGGTGTCAGAAACCCTGTGCTGTGGCTGAGAAGGGCTTTGAGAGTTTCCACAAATTAATTGTGACCATTTGGCCCGGTAGCAAAGCTGAGACTCCCATTCATCTGAGTTCCTGGCCTCTGTCTGTCTCAGCTGTGTGAGACAGGAGCTCCTTGGAGCCCCTCATGTCCACCGCCCAGAGTAAGGTGTGGTGGTGTCAGTGGGTGGGCTGCAGGAGTCCTAGTAGGGCATGTGGGAACCTGGCCCCCTGTGCTCACTTCCCAGCCCCGAGCCCTCAGCACCGGATCCTGCTGGAATTCCTTTTCCTGGACACGGAGTGCACTTACGACTACCTATTCGTGTACGACGGTGACTCACCCCAAGGCCCGCTGCTTGCTAGCCTGAGTGGGAGCACCCGGCCCCCACCCATTGAGGCTTCCTCAGGCAAGGTTAGTGGTGATGGGGATGTGGGGCCGTGGTCACAGGGTCTCTCGGGAATGTGAGGCAGAGGAGGAGCACACACCGAGGAAGAAATGGAAAAGATGAGACGGGACAGAAAAAAGCCAGCCAGAGGATATCAGAGAAGACACTGTGGGAGGAGGAAACAGACGGTTTGCCTAGCTTTCACAAAGCCCTGGGTTTGATCCGTAGCACCCCGTAAAATGAGTGTGGTGATGCCCACTTGTAATGCTAGCACTGGGCAGTGGAGGGAGGGGTTTTAGAAGTTTTCGTCTACACAGTGGTGTAAAGCCAGCCTGCGTTAGATGACATCCTTTTTCAAAAGCAACAAAAGGAGACCAAGAGAGGCCGTGGGGTGGGTTCCCGAGGGGTGGTCCACAATCTGGACGCAGCCTACTCATTGTATCCAGCCCTCTTATCTTGTAGATGCTGCTCCATCTCTTCAGCGATGCCAACTACAACCTGCTGGGTTTCAACGCCTCCTTCCGCTTCTCCCTGTGTCCTGGGGGCTGCCAGAACCATGGACAGTGCAAGTCACCAGGAGTGTGTGTCTGTGAGCCCGGCTGGGGAGGTCCAGACTGTGGCCTGCAGGAGTGCTCAGCCTACTGCGGCAGCCACGGCACCTGTGCCTCGGTGAGCCGTCCCCCACTGAGTCTCCCTGGGATCCTGATGTGTGACCACACCCGCCACGTGTGGCTGACATGGGGCCTTGTTCCATCACGATGCTCCCTTCCCCGCTGCTGTGGGAGCCTGTCTCCTGTCCTTCCAGGTCTTTCCTCTTTCCTCTGAGACCTCACTTCTGGCTCTGTCCTCATCTCTAGCCAGCCTCCACCTAGGGGTCATGATGGCCTCATCCTCTGTTTGGCTTTGGGTCCCTGCCATGATTGGTTTTGACATGGTCTCGTTTGGTAACCAGGCTGGCTTCAAACTTGAGATCCTTCTCCTCCCTCAGCCTCCTGAGTTCTGGGGTTACTGGCACCACACCTGACCCCCTGCCAGGATTTCTGTCCTTTCACCCCTAACCTTACACCTCAGTTCTGCACCCCTCCCCTCCCAACTTGCGATCTGTGTCGTGTTTAGAACCTTCCTTGCCTTGACCTCCCAGCTCAGAGCTCATCCAGCCCAGCCCTCACTAGCGGGTCTGTCTGATCTGCCCTACCTCGTCTTCCTTGGTTTAGTGCGTCTTCTGTTCTTCCCGTTGTCCCCTTGCTTGTTCCTTTCTTTCTGAATATTCCCTTGGACATCTTTCCTTTCCTGTCTCTCTTTCTGCCCTGTCTGTCCTGAATCTGCGTCTTTCTGTTCCCTCACCCACTGTCTTGCTCTCTTTCTCTCTGCCTTTTTGTCCCCTTCCTCCCAGATCCTAGGACCATGCCGCTGTGAGCCTGGGTTCCTTGGGCGAGCCTGTGACCTGCACTTGTGGGAGAACCAGGGGGCTGGCTGGTGGCACAATGTGAGTGCCGGGGACCCTGCCTTCTCTGCCCGAATTGGGGCAGCTGGTGCCTTCCTGTCCCCACCTGGGCTGCTGGCTGTCTTTGGAGGTGAGCAGACGGGAAGAGGGTGAGTTAGAAGGATCTGGACGCCTGTCCTCCTGTGGCTGGGGTTTGAAAGCACTCTTCTTCATTTGCAGGCCAGGACCTCAACAAGGCCCTGGGCGACCTTGTCCTGTACAACTTCTCCACAAACACCTGGGAGTCCTGGGACCTGAGTCCTGCTCCGGTACGGATCCTCCTCTGCCCTGGCTGAGGGCCTGCCCACTCACGACCCACCACCCTGCAGCTCCCATCCCCGACAGCGCGTCTAGGGACCTGCTTCTCCTTGTTTCTGTGTTTGCTCACTTGGAGATTCCTTTTCCTGCCCTTCCCCCTTCCTTCCTTCTGTATGGCATTGTCCCCTCGCGCCCTTTCCTCTTCCAGCCTGCCTCCTTCCCTTCCGTCCTTCCTTCTTCCTTCCATTTTTTTGAGATAGGGTCTCAGACAGCCCAGGGTGTCCTTGAACCCCCAATTTTCCTGCTCCTTCTCCATGCTGGGGCTGTAGACATACACTGCCATACCCAGGGTGTGCCTCCATCAGTTTCTTTTGTCTCTGTCTGATTTCTCGGTAGCCCGCTCTGTCTTGGTCCATTCCTCAGGCGTCGTTTCTCACTCTCGCTCACTGCTCTTCCTGTCTTTCTGCCTCCTACTCTGTCACTGTGTTTTCCTGTCCCCACCCCTGTTTTTATTCTCCTGTCTCATGTCTGTGTGCCTTCCTTCCATCCTTCTTTCTGTTTTTTTGTTTTTTTTTTTCCCTTTCGTTTTTTGAGACAGGGTCTCTCTGTGTAGCTCTGGCTGTCCTGGATCTCTGTAGATCAGGCTGGCCTTGAACTCACAGAGATCCACTTGTCTCTGTCTCCCAAGTGCTGGCATTAAAGGTGTGCACCACCACCACCTGGTTCCTTCTTTCTGTTGTTTTGAGTTAAGGATTTAGATTGACGTGGATCCCAGGCTGAAGCCCAGGCTAGCCTTGAATTCATGCAGTCTTCCTGCCTCAGCCTCCTGTGTTGAGATTAGAAGTGCATGGCTTTGCTTGCTTGTTTCTTAATTCCTTCTCTGTTTTCTTGAAGCAGGATCTCATGTAGCCCACTGTGGTCTCAAATTCACTGTGGCCCAGGCTGGCCTTGAACTCCTGATCCTCTTGCCTCTGTCACTGCCTCCCTTAGCTTGACTCCTAGTCTCTCTGCATATCTGTTTTTCTGTCTTTGTATCTCCCTGCTCTGGCCCTCCCTGTGTGTTCACCATCTCTGTCTCCTGGTCTCTTCCCCACAGGCCGCTCGTCACTCCCATGTGGCTGTTGCCTGGGCTGGCTTCCTGGTACTGATGGGTGGCGAGCTGGCCAATGGCTTGCTCACCAATGATGTGTGGGCCTTCAGCCCCCTGGGTGGAGGCCACTGGGAGCTCCTCCCCCCACCGGCTTCCAGTCCCTCTGGGCCCCCAGGCCTGGCAGGCCATGCCGCTGCTCTGGTGGATGACATCTGGCTGTATGTGTCCGGTGGCCGCACTCAGCATGACCTCTTCTCTTCTGGCCTCTTCCGTTTCCGCCTGGACCACACCAGCAGGGGCTATTGGGAGCAGGTGATCCCAGCAGGGGGGCGGCCCCCTGCTGCCACTGGCCACTCTATGGTGTTCCACGCCCCCTCCCGTACCCTGTTGGTCCATGGTGGACACCGGCCTTCCACAGCCCGGTGAGTAGCCTGCCTTTACTCCTGTCCCTCAGGGCCATACCAGCCCAACACAACCCTTAGAGGACTTGCTCACTGACAGACTCCTGTGCTCATGCAGTCCCTTCCTTCTTCCGTCATTCATTTGTTCACTTCCTGGTTCGCTCACCCATCCTCTACACTCTCGGGTCCTTAGTCAGGCTCTGACCATCGCTTCCCTGCATGCTTCCACTCATTCACCTGTTGTCCCGCTCTTGCTAGATTATACAGGTACCAGACCCTGCTCAGACCTGGGCCCTGCCCACAGTGAGTGTGTGTTAGGATGGGATATAGACATGGGCCTGGCCAGTCTCTGTCTTGGGTAAAGCCAGGGGAGGAAAGGAAGCCCTTCTTGCCCTGAGCCCTGGCCTGTCTCTTCCCTGTAGGTTTTCTGTGCGGGTGAACTCCACTGAGCTCTTCCACGTGGATCGGCGTGTGTGGACCACGCTGAAGGGCCGGGATGGGCTCCAGGGTCCACGGGAGAGAGCCTTCCACACAGCCAGTGTTCTGGGAAACTACATGGTGGTCTATGGTGAGGCGATTTCCCTGATCATGTCTGCCTGCCAGGGGCCTGAGCCCACCCTGAGCTGAGACTCAGCCCGGATGTCCCTGCCTCCTCCAAGGCTTGCAGACTATGCCCTTCCCTCCTCTCGCAGGGGGCAATGTGCACACTCATTACCAGGAGGAAAAGTGCTATGAAGATGGGATCTTCTTCTACCACCTTGGCTGCCACCAGTGGGTGTCGGGGGCCGAGCTTGCCCCACCAGGAACCCCTGAGGGTGAGTCAGTCCTGTTCTCCCGAGGGCTTCTGAAGGTCTCTGAGTTTTAGCAAGAGCTGCCTCAGTCATTTCCTTGGTGGTGGCCAGGAAGCAGATGTAGGGACACTGAGCTTTGGTTCTAATTTTTTATCTTTAAATGTGTGAATATGTGTGTGAGTGTTATTGTCCACAGTTGGAGGCAGAGGACAACCTCCTCCGGTATCATCCTCAGGAGTATTGTCCACCTTCTTTGAGTTAGGGTCTCTCCTTGGCCTGGAGCTCACCAGCGAGGCTAGTCTGGCAGGCCAGTGAGCCCTAGGCTTCCTCTCTGTTCTATGTCTGCAGGGCATGCCCGGTATTTTTGTGACAGTTCTGGGTATTGAACTCCAGTCCTAATGCTTGTGAGGCAAGCACTTTACCAGTCAAGCCATCTTTCCAGCTCCAGAACCTAAGGTCTAGTTGGGAGTTTGCCAGTTTGCAGCTGCCCTAAGTTGCTTCCTAAGAAGCGGTGACTTCATGGTCACAGTGGGAAAGAGGTAGAGTCAAGATGGCTGACTTCAAACAGGTATCTACACAAGACCACAACTTGATGTCTGCACCTTCTTCTCCTCGTCTACGAAATGGGCTTCTGATACGGTTGTGTGACTGGGTTGCTGTGAAATGAACTGTTGTGTGAACAGTGAATAATAACACAGTTACGAGTTCAATACATTGTCTTTCTCCAGGGTTTTATTTTTGTTTTGTTTTGTTTTTGGAGAAAGGGTTTCTCTGTGTAGCCCTGGCTGTCCTGGAACTGGCTCCATAGACCAGGCTGACCTCAAACTCACCAAATCTGCCTGCCTCTGCTTCCCAAGTGTTGGGATTAAAGGCATGCACTACCAGGGTCCACTTTTTATAAGCAGAAAGTGGGATTTCTTGGTTCATTTGTAGCGAAAGCATCAGGTTGGGCTGGATCTAGGTGCTCAGTGATGGATGGATGGATGGATGGATGGCCTTGGCCATTTCTGTCTCTGGTTCTCAGCTGGGTTCCCTTCTTTTCTTACTTGTTTTGTCTTTTTGTTTGCTTGTGTGTTTTAGTTTGTGTGTCTGTGCTTAAGCCAGAGTACGTGTGTGTGGGTCCCGACAGGAGTCGGTTCTGCCCTTCTGCCATGTGGCTCTCAGGGACTGATCTCAGGTTGCCAGACTTGGTGGCAGTGGCTTCTGTGAGATGAACCACCCCAATGGCCTCTTGCTTGCCTTTTGGAGAAGTCACCAATAACTGTGGAATTGTATGTACTCGCTTCGCATTCTCAGAGGGGTCTGTAATCCCATCATTCAGGAGACTAGCCTCAGGCTACAGATGGAGACCTGTCTCAAAAAAGGGGGTGGTGGTGGTGATGCTGGAGAGATGGCTCAGGGGTTAAGAACACTGGCTGATCTTCCAGAGGTCCTGAGTTCAATCCCTAGCACCTACATGACAGCTCACAACTGTCTGTAAGTCCAGTTCCAGGGGACTGACATCCTTACACAGACACACATGCAGGCAAAACACCAATGCACATAAAAATAAACAAATCTTAAAGAAAAAATCCTGTACGCCTTTAATCCCAGAGATGTCCTGTCTCAAACCAAGCAACAAACAACCCAGAAACCAACGCATAATAAAACTAAAATGCCCAGAGGGAGGAGACTCCTCAGGAATTGTAGGAATTGGGTCCCCTATCTTGAGCTCCGAATGGCAGATCTGAACTAAGGCCAACATTCCCCAGAGGCAGGACAACTCTGCACGGGTCTCTTGGACAGGGGATGGGAAAAGGTGGCTTTTCCCAGGACACTGGGGAAGTCACCAGAGGTGGCCTAGCGCTGCTGCTTGGACATGAGCAGGTGAGACCTAGGCAGCCTCCTGGGGCTCCTCATTCAGTTCTCCTAGATCCACAAGGGGGGCTGCTGGTTCTGTTTATGGGGAAAGAAACCAAGACTTGGCAAGGTTGGGTCTCCGGCCCAAAGCAGTACAACTCAGTTGATATTTGAACCCGCATTGGTAGCAAGATCACACTGTTTGAGATGATTTGAGCAGGGGCCCTGGGCCTCAGAGAGGAGAGAGACCAGAGGCCACTGCAGAGGCAGTCAGGCCAGGCAGAGCCAGGCAGGTCAGGAGGCTTTCCTTGCCAGGTAGGTAGGGGCTAAAGCAGCCATAGGCTGGTTAGGCTGGAACCAGGAAGGCAGAAGTCGGGGAAGGTCTGATCTTGTGATTGTATTCTAGGCCGAGCAGCACCCCCTAGTGGCCGTTACTCCCACGTGGCAGCCGTACTTGGTGGCAGTGTCCTGTTGGTGGCTGGGGGATATAGTGGCCGGCCCCGTGGGGACTTGATGGCCTACAAGGTGCCCCCCTTCGTGTTTCAGGCACCTGCTCTGGATGTGAGCACTGGGGTAACAGGGAGAGGGTGGCTGTGGGAGGAGATGGCAGGGTATCTAAGCATGAAGGGTGAAGTGGAGAGAAGGTTCCCGGCAGAGAAGTGGGAAGAGCAGGGTACCCTGTAGCATAGGCTTTTCCAGGGCTGAGGGAGGAACGGAGTGGGGGCCCCAAGGTGCTGAGCGGATGGGGTGAAATGGGGCAACCACGGGAGCCAGAGTTGGCAGAGAGCCAGCTGCAGGTCTTTGAGAGCAGTGTCCCCGCCCGTGCCCTGTGTCTCTGCAGTACCACTTGGACTATTGTTCCATGTACACAGACCACAGCGTCTGCTCCCGAGACCCGGAATGTAGCTGGTGTCAGGGGGCTTGCCAGGCGGCACCCCCTCCCGGAACGTCCTCAGGAGCTGTGAGTGACTGCCCTGGGCCCTCTCACAGAGGCCTGCTTTAACTCCCCAGTCCAGAGCCTTTACTTCTCCTAACACCCGAGTGAGTCCCTTTGCGTTTAGGAACCTGTCCCTGGATACCTGGGCCCTTGTTCTTGATTTCCTATAGACCAGTGATTCTCAACCTTCCCGATGCTGCAACCCTTGCCTACAGTTCCTCATGCTGTGGGGACCCCAACATAACATTACTTTTGTTGCTGTAGTGTTGCTACTGTTATGAACGGTAATATAAATATGTGACATGCAGGATGGTCTTAGGTGACCCTTGTGAAAGGGTTGTTGGACCCTCCCCGCCCCAAAAGAGTTGTGACTCACAGTTTGAGAGCGGCTGCTATAGGTCAGCCCTGCTCCAGTTTCCTGTTGGTCACTTGGCTGGCCCTCTAGCCCAGACCACATGTCCACAGCTCTTCTCAGGCCCCCGAGTCCCAGAGGACAGTATACATTGACTCTGCTCTTCCCTGCAGTGTCCAGCGGCCAGCTGCTTGGGCCTAGGCCGCCTCCTAAGTGACTGCCAAGCCTGCCTGGCCTTCAGCAGCCCCACAGCCCCTCCCCGGGGACCGGGCGCACTAGGCTGGTGTGTGCACAATGAGAGCTGCCTTCCTAGGCCTGGTGAGTGTCGAGCAGCTCTGGGGGAGGGGCTCAGAATGCCTCACACTGACCCTCTAGCCTCCACACTCCTGTCCTCTCAGAGCAGGCCCGCTGCCGAGGGGAGCAGATCTCGGGCACCGTGGGCTGGTGGGGGCCAGCCCCTGTCTTCGTGACTTCCCTGGAGGCCTGTGTCACCCAGAGCTTCCTGCCTGGCCTGCACCTGCTCACCTTCCAGCAGCCACCCAACGCCTCTCAGCCTGACAAGGTGGGGGCCAGATGGACCCGGGGATGGAGTTGACAGTTATGGACCTAGCATTGTATCTTTTCAGATGAGTCTTTTGCGGGGGCAGCACTGGGATTGGAACCCGGGGCTTTGTGCATGCTAAATATTCACGCCACCACTGGGCACTCTCTAGGCAAGCGCTCAGCCTAGATTCACAGATTATGTATTTATTTACTTCTTATTTTGAGACAGTGTGTTGGCCAGACTTGCCTGGAACTCACTGTGTTCCTAACAGATATATCTTTGTCCCTAGCTCCCCTGTAGGTGAAATGGCAATACCGTGCCTTGAGGCACTCCTCCCCACCCCCCTTCAAGAGTATGAGTGCTCCTGTCAGCCTGCAGACCAGAAGAGGGCATCAGATCCCATTACAGATGGTTGTGAGCCACTCTGTGGGTGCTGGGAATTGAACTCGGGACCTCTGAAAGAGCAGCCAGTGCTTTTAATCTCTGAGCCTTCTCTCCAGACCATTTTTTTTTTTTTTAATTTGAGTGAAACAACACATAAAGTTTACCAGAATTACTTAGTACAATGAAAAGATTGTAGAACAAGCTGGACATGGTGGTGCACACCTTTCATCCCAGCACTCGGGAGGCAGAGGCAGGTGGATCTCTGTGAGTTTGAGACCAGCCTGGTCTACAGAGTGAGTTCTAAGACACCCAGAGCTATATAGGGAAAACTTCTCAAACAAAAAAAGATTGTAGGACAATATTTTTGTCATTCCTAAATCAACTCTAGATTTATTTTCTAACTGTTCCCTGCCTGGTCTTCCCTGAACCCCTTGGCCCCTGAATTTGCCAACTGTGGATGGACATTTATATAAATGGAGTCATGTAATCTGTGGCTTCCATGTCCGGCTTCTTTCACCTAGCATAATGACTTTAGGGCTCCTTTGTGCTGTGACTCCACTAGGAAATGGGCTTCAAGATGGACATGCTAGCATGTATCCGTGATGCTAGCACTTGGGAAGGAAGCTAAGGCAGGTCAGCCTGTACTAGATAGTAAGAGTCTTATCTCAAAAACAAAACAAAAATCCAGAGTGAGCACTGGTGGAGAAGGCACAGTGGCCGGAACGTGAAGCAGCTGGGAAGTGATGAGGCAAATTCCGACACTCAGCTTGCTTTCTGTCTTTGTTTCCACCTCAGCTCACACAGTCTAGCGGTTCCCTCACACACATGCTTGGAAGTTCGCCTCTAGATGTTTCTGAATCCTGCCTGTCAAGCTGTCGGTCATTGACCACCACAAACCAGGTTGTGGCAATGCTCCCGCCTCCGTGCTGGCATCAAAGACAGGCGCGACCAGACTCAGTCTGCTTTGTCTTAATATATCCAAACATGCTTTCCCACAAATGATCTTAGGAAATACTTCTTCTCTTTTTCGTGAGTTGGTATTGCTTTTGAGACAGTCTTGATATATTACCCAGGCTAGCCCTGATAGCCTAGACTCCCGTGACCTTCCTTTGGCTGCCTCCTGAGTAACTGGCACTGTAAGGTTCATACCCCTGGGTGCCCCTCTCCCCTCCCTGAGGAGCCTAGGCAGGCCTTGGGCTTGCTGTGTACCTGGGACTGATCCGTTTTCCTCCACCTCCCGGGGACAGGAGTTACAAGCCTCTGCCACTGTGCCAGCTGGAGCTTCTTATTTTGGATGGTTATGTAATATTCTAGTTATGTTTAAATGCTATACTGCTGTGTGTTTAGTTATTTGTTTTGGAGATAAGGTCTAGCTATGTAGTCCAGACTGGCCTCAGTCCTGCCTGAGTCCCAAGTGCTGGGTTTGTAGGTGTGGTCCAGCAAGTCCAGGTCCTGTAAGTTACATAAACAGTCTCCAGTGGTGGGCACTTGGGTTGTTCTGCTCTGCTGTTACAGAGTCACACCCTAGCAAGTAAACCTTGTGCTGTGTCATCACCAGGAGTGTCGGGCCTAGCCTTGGAAGGACTGCCGGGAAAGCAGGGAGCTGAGAACTAAGATGCCAGAGGTTCCCGTCTCCAAGTTTAAAAGACATCTTTTTGTTTTGTTTGTGTTTGAGATAGACGCTTACTCTGTAACCGTGGGTAGCCTGGAACTCCCAATGTAGACCAGGTTGGCTTGGAACTCACAGCTAACTCCTTACTTCTGTCTCCCATGTGTTGGTATTAAGGGTGGATGCCACCATCCCTGGGTAGTTTTGGAAAAATTTTTAAATGTATTCTGAGTATGTGTGCACATGTAGGTCAGAGGACAGCTTTGTGGAGATGGCTGTCTTCTTCCAACTTACGTAGGTTCTGGGGACTGAACTCAGGTCTGCAGGCTTTCATGGCAGCCACCTTTACCCCACAAGGCATCTTGCTGGCCCCCAGTCTTTGGAGTTTTAGTATGACCTGAAGATGAGGTTGGGTTGGGAACCTGTGTATACTGTCTTAATTTGGTCTTGACACTTTTTCCAGAGAGATGATGGGCAAGCTGCCTAATCTCAGTGCCCTGTCTGAGTTTCTCATTGGTGAAGATTATCTAGCTTGTCTTCTCTGGTTCTGGTGTGGCTAAGGGGTGTGGGTACTTAGCAACAATCCAGAGAGGGACTTACATATACATATATCTCTGAATGGTACAGGTCTCCATTGTCCGAAGCACAACTATCACCTTGACACCCAGCCCGGAAACAGATGTGTCCCTGGTCTACCGAGGCTTCATCCACCCTCTGCTGCCAGGAGGGCCAGGTGGCCCTGGGGCTGAGGATGTGGCTGTGTGTGCTCGGGGGGGGCGCCTCCATGTCTTGGCCAGGATGGCCAAAGGCCCGGACACTGAGAACATGGTGAGGGATTTTAGAATATTCTGAGGTGATTTTTTTGGTAAATATGGTCATGAGTATGATTCAGGGCATTTTTGGTGATGTCAGGGTTCTGGGGGACAGTGGGGAGCATTCAGACATGGGGTGTACCCTGAGAAGAAGAAGAAGGGGCCTATGGAGTTTTCAACTGTGAACAGAATTTGGGGGAATTCTGGGGAGCACAGGGTAGGCTTGAGTGACAAGTGGAATTTCCCTGAGGAGGGGGTGGGTCGTGGGGTCAAGTGGCGGCTTCCTACAATCCAAGGGTCCCTGAGGCCCTCTTCCTCCCAGGAAGAGCTGGGGTCCTTGGAGGGGAAATCGGGTGTTCAAAGGAGGAGCGTGGAGAGGTCTGAAGTCTGTTGCTTGCTGGCTCTGCTGCAGGAGGAGGTGGGGCGCTGGGGGGCGCAG